GGAAACCTCCACAGAGGCAGCTGCATTCAGATGGGATCCCCACATCGGGACCAGGTGTGTCCAAGTGAAAGATGGGTTGGAAGCCAAAGGAAGCGAGCGTGTGGCTCTATTAAAAGAAAGGTTTAGTGCTTCACTGATAGAGGGGAGGCCATCAGGAATGTGTTCTTTTCAATGCCCTGTTACCTACAAAACATAAAAACACATTCAGAAAAAAAAAAAGACAAGTGCACTACAGATGTGGGCATGTGTCTCCCGAGAAGGAGCGGAGCCAGGGTTTCCAAGTGACACCTAACCGAGGCCACACGAAGGGACGCTGTCAGAATAAAGTAGACGGCTGAAAGCCACAGCGCCGAGCGCCACAGGATGAAACCCGCTCTGTAACCTTTCAAAGCATGGCCCCATCCCCACCATCGCGGGCACTTTGTCTCAGTCATTTTGCGGGGACTGCTGGGTTCCATCCGTCTCATGGAAGGACCCCTCGTTTTGACATAGCCTCTACTTTACCACGCATGCTACCTCTGTTCCTCACGACTGACCCTCAACCACAGTTTACTGGAGGCCAGCTGAGGGCCAGGCTGTCAGTGTTAAGTGCTGTTGCTGGAACATGCAAACACGGGGTGGATGGTGGGTAGGGGGTGGGCGTGTTAAAAAAATTAAAAAACTCCTGGCTCCTTCACAGGCCCCAGCCACACAGACGGTGCAGAAGGGGGCACCCTCACTGCCCTGGAGCCCCAATCGAAAGGACACCAAGGGCGACCCTGGGGACTTACCCCACATCCGAAGCTCGCTGGGGAGGCCTGGGGCTCCTCGGGGCACCACCGCCTCTGCCCGGGGCGCTCTTCCTGGGTGCGGAGGCTGTGGGGTCCTTCTCGTAGCCGTTCAACAGGCCGTGGCCAGCTCGGTGGCGTGTCCCTGCGGGCCGGTGGCCCTCGTGGTTCTGCTCCCGTGGTGGCACGAGGCTCCGCGACAGTGTGTACCCGTGAGAGATCAGGAGGTCTTCTACACTGTACATGATGCCCCGGGTCCCTCAGAGCTCAACGGCGGGCGGCACCGTGGTGGTCGGTTCCATCACTGCGCGGGGGAGAGACAGAGCTGTGTCAAGGGCGGTCTGACACCCCTTCTCCCCGGAACCGCCCCCCATGCTGCCCCGTGGACGCCCCCGGCAAGCCCCTGTACGGGGACCACGGCGCAGGGACACAGCACGGGGGACCCACTGAGGAAGAGGAGGCGTGGATCCCCCAACCAGAGGCGGACGGCACTCGACCCCCTCAGGGGGAGGGCGGTGGGTGGGCACCACCCGGGTAGGCGCCACCCTGGCTGCCCAGGAGGTGGCCACAGCGTCGCTGAGGACTTGTCTCTCCGACAGGAGTTCGGAACAGAGCTGGGGCCGCGAGATGCAGATCAACAGTGCCCCCCTACCACCGCACCCTTGCCCTCCTCTGAAAACAACGGGCAAGCGGAGCGAGGGCGAAATCCACACAGCCTCCCGCGCCATTGGCCACTTTTCCGAAAGGAGTGAATGCCCGGCATCCAGCTCCGACCTAACTGCACCTCCTGCCATCACGCGGCAGAGGCCAGAGCGCCATCCTCGATCTGCAAAGGGACCGCGCACTGCTTCAGAGGGGACCCTTGGCAAAGGCGGTGAACTCGCTTCTGGACACGGAGCTCAGGACTTCGGCTCCCAACGGGAAACTAAGCAGCACGCATGCTGGGCGAACACACCAGCCCAGCGCAGGATCCAGAGGTCGCCCCCTTCCACGTGGAGCTTTAAGGAGTCGGATTTCACCCCCCAGCTGGGTCCAGGGGAGACGCTTGGCTTGACATCTAAGTCAAGATCTTCCACTCCCCCAAAACCCGCCATGGTGCATGGCTTCCACAGCGGCCACTTCCTGGCAGTGGGACCAACCCTCCAACGGGGAAGAGCGAGAATGGATGGAAGGAGTGCAGAGCCCATGTAAGAGAGAGTTGGGGTCGCAGGTTTATCTGCATGCAGAGACGATCAGATTTCCTAAGTCGTCCCTTTGTTGATAGGCTGGGCCCTGACTCGGGTGAGCTGACATGGCTGTCTGGCAGCTCTGACCTGGGCAAGAGGCTCTCCTAAGAGAACTCCAGCCCGGTCAGGCCAATGGATGGAAGGAAACAGGGCTGCCACGGGCACCACAAACAATGAACAGGAAATGCCTGCGAGGGGAGAGGAAGATGGACCTATGGGCTTCCTGTCTGGGGCAGGGGGTCTTGCCAGGGTCCATCACGTAGTTCGCTGACTGTGCTACTAGGCTGACTGTGCCAGGTCTTGCCCTCCCTGTTGTCATCATGGAGTGGATCAAACAATGGAAGGAGGTCTACAACCTTCCACTGGGAACTCGAGTTTTATGGAAGGTGACCTGCTCTGGCAGTTACTAAAAACCAAAAGGAAGCTCACTGTCATGGAGCTGACGCCAACTCATAGCCACCCTACGGGACAGGAGGGAACTGCCTTGTGCTGTTTCTGAGACTGTCACTCCTTACGGGAGTCCAAAGCCCCATCTTTTTCCTGAGCTGGTTTTGATCTGCTGACCTTGCCGTTAGCAGACCAATGGGTATAACCACTCTACCACCAGGGCTCTGGCACTTACTGCAGTGATGAGAAAATCCCCACAGAATCTGCGCCATTTCTGACACGCTCCTGCGATGTCTTTTACAGAGTTGTCTGGGTTGAGTCAGAGATGGAAGTACCAGGAGAGACCAGTTCTTGGAAAAGAACATCGTGCTTGGTAAAGGAGCGGGGCAACAACAAAAGAGGAAGGCCCTCGACAAGATCAATGGACACTGCGGCTGCAGCCATGTGCACAGATTCATCTTATCGCTGTGAGGCAGAACCGGCATTACAAGAAGTGGCCTGGTGAACCAAATGAAGCCAAACCCATCTTTCAAAAATGATCTCAATTCATAAAAGGTCAAAGGTGTTTTGAAGGTTGGAAATGCCTCACTTGTTTGCATCTCTCACAGGCCCGTGGGAAACAAGCGTACAAAGGTCAAGGGCTTCAGTTCACAGTGCTCTGAGCTGGTCAGGGGGGCGAGGGCCCCCGTGGCTGTTCCCTAGCCACCACTCAGAGTTACAGCAGGCCTCTGCCCTGGGCTTCCATGCTTCCGTCACCTCTGCCCTGTCTCCATGCCCATAGATTTCTGTGCTGCCCCATACTGTACTAATCCCCACCGTGTTCAGCTTGTTTCCCCGCACCCTCTTCTACTTAAGAGGGATGAATGGGGCTGCCTCCGTCCAGCGTCCCATCACTGACCTGTCAGGAAGGGAGGCGGAGACGCCGAGAAGACTCCAGGGTTCCAGTTATTGCTTGGACTGGAAGCATGGCCTTTCCAAAGTCTCTTTCCCAGGTTGGATAGGAAGCTTAGGCGGCAGTGAGTATTTGTTACTCCTGTAAAAAGTTACAGTCTTTGAAACTCAGTGGGGCAGTTTGGCCCTGTCCTATATAGTCAGTATGGTCCTATAGGGTCACTATGCCTTGGCATCAACTCCATGGTAGTGAGTGTGTGGACTTCAGAAAAGGAGGGTGGAGACAGCTGTGCCACTTACAGGATGGAATCGGTGTCACTGGATTGAACACAGAGAAGTGGTCCAATGGGTGTATGGGCTGCTGTGTATGTTTTTAACAACAAGATAAAGTGTGAATACATTATCTGAGGAAATAAAGTTCCTTCCTAACCTGAGATACCAGCCATATGAATCTATAGCGTTGAACGTTATCACCCAATCGTTGCCCATTCATGCGCACAATTGACAAAATGAGAGTCAGTGTGGCTGCTGGTTTAGCATTAGACGTCACGAAAACAGGTTGTTTGCATAAACCACAGCGCGCAGTACTGGGAGGGATTGTGGGTTCTAGTCCCTCTTGTAGCTACAGTCCCCGGATGTAACAGGTCATTTATCTCACCAAGCCTCTGTTTTCTGGTTTGCCAAGTGGAGTGTCACCACCTTCCCATCATACAAGACGATCTTGGGGACCCACAAGGATACGCAGAAATGCAAACCACCCTGCAAATATAAAACGATGGACTTGTTCTGCTGCAATAGTTCTAGTTGGTCTTTGACTGCCTCCTTGGTTCATGGGAAGATGTCATATCGGTACCCATATTTCCCCTGTCCTTGAGGCCATTTGCTAACTCCTTCTGTATCATGCAATGTTATTTTCAATCGCCAAGACCATTCAGGCACTCTGCCTATATCGCCCACATACCTAATCTTTGCAGCATGGGCACTCCAACCCCCCTCCCCAAATACATCACAGAACAACAAGCATTATTTCATATAGTCCAGCACGTTAAAACCATAGTCTGAATGTCCATGGAAGGGGCTCAGGTGGAGCAGTGCTTAAGCACTGGGCTGCCATCTGCGAGGTCGCAGTTCAAGACCACCAGCCACTTGAAGGGGGTAAAGCCAAGTCTTCCTACTCCTGTACAAAGCTGCAGTCTTTGAAACTCACTGGGGCAGTTCGGCCCCAACCTAGACCGTCACTATGGTCCTATAGGGTCACTATGATTGGCATCGACTCACTGGCAGTGAGTTTGTTTGTTTGTTTTTGGAATGGGCCCAGGCACTGGGACACATCTGTATCCTGGAGGAGTTTGCCTAGTGGAGAGGAAACCTGGGAAACAGCCCATGCAGGCAGCCTATGAGGGTGAGTGGCGAGGAGCAGGCCCCTGCCTGCGGAATCAGAGGAAGGTGATGGGGACAAGAGCAGGATGGTGGGAAAGGGACCCAGGAGGTTTCTAGAAGATTCCAGCTAAGTAAATAGAATGAAATCCTCCGTCTCAAGGCTTCTGGCTTGTCCATTCAGGGAGTTCTGGTAGTTAAGCTTGGTTCTGTTTTTTCTGTTTTGATAGCATCCCACGGTCGGTGTGTACATACACATCCATCAAAGCTTCATAGGACAAAAGAGTTACCTTCACAGCCTGAAATGCAGGGTAACATCTCCTACTCTATTTCAGGTTTTGAAGAGGATAGCTATCACCCACTAAATGAGTTCCCTTCTCCACCAGTGAGTCACGGATGGAGAAGTCATTCCTGCCCCGGTCAGGAGGCTGAGCTCGAAGCCCTCTGAGATTTCACCAGATTCAAAGATCCTGTCAGTCCATGAGACAGCCCTTTGTCCATCAAATTCAAGGCTCTTTTCTCAAGAGCAGATGTGGCTATCCTAGCGTATCAAAATTGGACTTTCCAAGCAGTCGCTCAGGGTCTAATGGCAGCTCCTTTGAGAGTTCAGAGAGCAAAGAATGAAATGGCACACGTCTTCTTTCCTCAGTTGACCTCTCACCTCCTAGGGCTTTGATACCACGTCACCAAGTACCCGAAAAACCCAGCATTGTTGGTGTCAAACCCGAAGTCCCCTGAGATCCGCCAGTCTGCAATACTGGGACTTCCAAACTCTCCTCCTTGAGAAAGCCAGGGGGCAGCCTTTCTTTTCTTCCCTGCGATCTTTTCTGTTTTCTTGCTATTGCCTAACCCGTGTATCAGTAGGGTAAGTCCACCATTAAAAACAACAACAGTACGATGTGCACCACCACAACGCTGCTACCCTCCTAAAAGAGCCATCCATGTCCTTCTAGGCCTATCTCTCTGGGTTGTTGTTAGCAGCTCTGAGCTGAGTCCCAACCACTCCTACCCCCCACCCCACAGCTAATGGCAATCCACAACTAACAAGATGGAACTGCTGTGATTCGTAGGGTGTTTAGTAGCTGCAATTAAAAAAAAAATTGCCAGGCCTCTCTGCCTAGTCTGCCTTGGTCGGGAAGTTCTGCTGACACCCGTTGAGCACCATAGCAGTAAGAAAGCATCCACTGGCAGGTGGGTGGTGGCCACCTATGTTGGTTGGAATGAACCCAGGTCTCCTGCTTGAAAGGCAAGTATTGTACCACTGAGCTGCCAAGTATATCAAGTTGTTTCTTCTCAAAAAAGGTGGAAGCTACACTAAGTCTCCAACCCAGGGGACGGGGCAAGAAGAGATGAGGGGAGGTAGCTGCCATGCCACATGATCAAGGTGAGAAGAAGCAAGGACCTTCCCTGCAGTCAACGTGGA